TATGTTTCACCCCCACCTTCTTTGTATGTTTTAGAAAACTATTGTTTTTACCTTTTTCTTAGTTAAATTTGTTCGTTTGTCAAGTACAAACAAATTATCAGATTCAAATTCATATAATAGCTACCATAAAATTAATACAAAATCACTAAATTATAAATTTCGCTCTAAACATTTTTCAATTCTAAAGTGAATATTATATTAAACTAAATACATGCATAAAGTTTAAGCTTAGTTTGTTTTTAAAGCAAGGAATAACGTGCATAGGTTTGGTGAACATGCTGATTTTTAATTTGAAATTGCTTTTACTAAATATGTTCTTTAAATAAAAATAACATGTAATTTTCGGTTTGATATATGTAATCTTCCCTTTAACTTTTCTATTATAGTATAATATAATTTCTGTTTATCTTTTTTTTTTTTTATCAATAGTCACCATATATTAAATCAATTGATACCAATTGGATGGTTTTTCTGATGGGCAACCCCAAAGAAAAATGTCTGACTTACATAGGAAATACATAACCTTGTGCTCGATCTCCCTTAACAAGGGAATCAGTCCGAACATTACTACTCTGTAGGATATGAACTAAACTAAAATATATAAAACATTGTTTTAGTATGGTAAATTAGTCAAGCTCTGCACTGAAAGATGGCCAATCTAGTGGATGCGTAATCATAGAAATCAGGTTTGCACAGTTCGTCTTAATCCTAACTGAGAATAGTCTCCTCTCGCTTACACACTCTATCGTCTAAAGCAACCCATCAAACTCAACATGAAGTGCCGAGATGCTTCCTCTACATCTTCCCATGCCGAAAGTAAGGAGGCTCGTATAGTCTTTTAAGCAGCAGCCTAATCCAATGTCCGAACCATGATCAATCCAAGATGCATCGATCTGGCATGTCGAGATTTGGGGGTCCTGGGGAAATAAATCATGTGAGTCACTCTGTTGGCGTATATCTTTTGCTTCTTCTCCCTCTTCTCTTCGATTAGCGATATTTCAACTCTATGCCTCGAGGGTCACTGTCTGGAGAGTAAACTGTGGGGATATTATTTTTCC